ATTTGTATGATGGATTGTTAGTGATTCCGGGTGCGTCAACTGCTATGGCCATTAGTCCCGTAAGTGTAGTGCATTCTTTACGCCGGAGGGGGCGGGGATCTTCCCTCGCTGAATAGCGAGACCCGGTGCCGACCCACCTTCAGCTAACGAGGTTTTCTCCAACCAGATATCTCCCTCCAGCGGGGAATCGCTCCTGCGTCCTTATTTTGTTATTGGATAACCGTTAATGCTCCGTCTCAGGGCTCAGTGACATTTATCGAATTGAAATAGCTTTTCTGAACAGAAGGAATTGAACGAAAAGATTTGCTATTCTAATGAAGTGTTTCCAATCAGACCCGTATTACGTTGAGGAGAATCTTACTTATTGAACAGATACAGCCATGGCAATCCAATGATTTTCTTTAATGCAGGAAAGTAAGACTTAATCAAGCGAATTATACGAATAGTGTTTTAAAATGTTTGTGAATCGTAATCCCTCTAAACTCTTGGAAGTAGAATCTATTATAGTAAAAGGAGGTGTCACTTCTTTCGTAGCATTGTACCTACGAAACGACCACCTTAGAGCGTAAGGGTTCGGAAAAAGAGACTGCGAAATTGTTAATGCCTCCGGAGTTGCTAATTTATTACAAAATCCATAAGTCTTCACCATCTTTTACCGATGAAGGTGACATGCTCTTATAGTTTTTCAAATAGCTCAGCAATCACCAATATTTCATCTGGCTTCTCATTACTTCTTGTTGTTATTTTTCATGATCATTTGTGCCTGCTTCGCTAGATAATTTTTTGCTTTGTGTAACTCCAGCGGCGTAGACAAAAGCGATCTCGTGTTATACTGAACAGTACAGCACACGAAATTTATACTGATTCCCAATCTGAAAATATATCAAAGATAAATATCTATCGAGAACAAGAGTATCGGCAAATTAACAAACAAAACAAGACAAGAAGCAAAAAAAGATGGTTTAAACGACATTATTGAACGTCAGTGTACTGAAGTTCGGAGAGTACTCTCATTCAAAAGCTTTTAGGAGTATTATCTATTAGACACACTTAAATGAATACTTTGTATTTTATACTATTTTTCTTACATAAAAGGAGGAGGTTTCAGCAAGGCAGAGTCGTTTCAATCTACAAAGAGTTCAGACTTTACGACTCTTATAATAATAAAAGTATAATAATTAAAGTATGTTGAAGAGTGGGAGAGATCTCTGGGATGTATAGGTAAAGATATAGTGTAATTAAATAGCCAGGTCATATCCAGTTAGCTAAGCATAATTTTCGTTCCTGTTTAATTGCTATTACAACAACTATTGCTACAACATGCACACGGAAACAAAAAAATAATCTAAACACATTATCCTTCCTGGGTTTCTCCACCTTAACAGAGAAGTACAGATTTAATAGATTTTGAACCGTAATTCGTACCTATTACCACCGCCCTGGCAGCTTTAGTGGCGAAGAGGAATCAGCGTCGACTCTAGACATCCCACGCGCATTAGGTGCTCTGCAGCAGCGAGCGTTCCAACTCAAACACATGGTTCACCTAATGAAGCTAATCTGCTGAAAATACAGTTCGTCTGATTAAGAACTGGGGCGCGTTCGAATATGCTGCCCCGCACACGAGGATTCAATAACTCTTCGAAGTTCTCTCCTCGTACCATGATTCTGCCGCGTGGGTCAATTCTACGAGACTGACTTTTCATTTCCGGAGATTGCATTTAATACAAGCGCGATAACGTTCGTAACAAAAAGTGCTGCTTTATTAATCAGCTCCGTAGTATTTATGAATACTTTTTTAGGTAGGATTGATAAATTACTAGGAGCTGGAAAATATGAGCATATATTATTGCTCAAAATAGTTGTGTAATGAAAAAGGCGGATTTTTTATTTTCATATTTAAGACAAAACGTTAATGTTCAAAATACAATATTTTGAAGGAAACGATTGAAGTAAAAAATGACAACAAATGTAGTAATTATTTAACATTTATTATGTGCTCTATTTTTTCAAAATTGTTTGACTAATAGAAGTCGAGAAAAATCAGTAAATATTAGTTTGTGGCAAAAATAATAGTGTTAGTTGTTCTTAAGTATTAGTCATTCGGAATGAATAGGTAATATTCTAAGCTAAAATTACTCATTAATTTCAAATCTTCAGCCTAACCGAAAAAATAAACAACTTAATCCAAATTGACGTGATCATTTAATGATAATTCTGAAAGACTGAACGCCAATAATACTTTATAAATAAAAAATCGATCAAATAAGTAGGGAAAGGCCAATAATGCGATGAAAAGTAACTCTTGAAGACAGAACAGGCCAGTAGGCACAATCCGTGCTGTTGTTGTGAATGGTGTTGATGATGATGTAAACCGATGTGGTAAAAAACTATTTCCTACGAATAATGTAGCTTTTTCTACAAAATTATTTTTTCTTAGAAGAGAATATAATTAAACTTGTATCTGAAAATATAATTATTCATTGTTTAAATATATACGAAACAAGAAAAACACAAAAGCCTTGATCGTGCCAAGAAATTCAGACAAATGAAAATTATGATTTGGTACGGCGTGAATGAAAGAAACGAAATAAGAATTATTTTGTCTTTTTTCATTTTTAAAACAACAAAAATCTAAAAGATCAAAATATTTTATCTTTGGTGAAATACAATCAAAAGAATCAAAAAGAAACATTTGTTACATGTGAAACCTCATGAGAAAAACATTCATTGTTTTGTTATGCAAACAAGCCTCAGTCGCGAGAAATTATTTCCCCATTCCAGCGCTACGGCCGCTAGTACTAGATTCGGCTGCAGCGTCGACGGGTGTTCAGCCACGTACGCGGGCTCTAGGTGCCACTGGCGAGAGGCGGGGGGGTGGGGGTGGAGGCGATTGGACCTAATCACGCGGATGAGCTACTTGGACCATGAGCCTCTCTCTGCGGCGCGGCATTGCGCGGCGCCCGTTGGGACCCTGGGAGCGGCGCTCTGTGAGAGACCTAAATGGGGCCAGACACACCCGGCTGCCCGCCTCACCGCCCGCCCACCCACCAGCTCTCTCACTCGTCCGCGCGTTCCGTCCGATCTCGCCCGCCCGCCCGACACCACCCGTCCGCTCATCCACTACCCACCCCATCCTCTTCTCGCCGCTCCCCACCCACCCATCCGCCCCCTCGCCCATCCACCCATTCTCTTTGCTCGCCGCCCATCCGCTCTCTTGCTCCCTCAACCCCCCCCGTTAGCCCACCCTCCTTCTCTCGGGCGTTCGTTTCGTCCGCCCGCCGCCTATCCGCTCTCTTGCTCGTCCGCCGCTCGTCCGCCTCCCGCCCTCCCGCTCCACTCGCAGCTGTTTCCTCGCCCCGCCCGCCTCGAGGCTCGGCCTCTGCGTTGCAGGACCCCGCACGGCGATGGAGCCTTAATATCTCAATTGCGCCCTTTCAGCCGGAACGGTAAACGGCTGGGGCAGACGGACTACGAGTGAACTCGTTATCGAAATATTTAATATTGCGGCGATTCCTTTTAAAACGAAGGCCTACTTGTTTTTACACAATGGGCGATTACTTCATTCTATTCCATATTAAATTTTTAAGCCTTAAAGAGTCGAAAATGTCACATGTTCGTCAACGACTTCGTAGCTTAACGGAAGTTTAACATGTGGAATTTCCCGTGATTGATGTTTCTAAGTTCATGTTTTTGATGCCTATAAAATAATTTTTGTTATTGGCACCAATAGTATTTTAAATAAAATTATTTTAAAAAAATACATTTTTTCTTCTTAAAAGTTTCATGTGCAAACCTCGCGTAAAAAATTGATTTTCATTTCATTATGACGTCATAATTTATAAGGCTTATTATACACATTTTAATATGTGAATACGTCGTCTATTAACAGTTATGCGATGATTTTATTTTATATAATTAGATCATATCTTTTAAGTTCATAAAACATTATTTAACGTAAACTTGTATGATACTGGCCAATCTATAATCGCTTGACAGCGAACATTGAACTAATGTTGCATTCACTTCAATAATAAAATTAAAGACATTTCAAAAACATCTGCCCTTTTGAGATGAAATCAAAATCTGATTTTTTTTCATGCATAATATTCCTTTTGTTGAATGTCCTCTCCAAACAAGTGCGTCTCTGATGTTTATTTTTCAGTGAGTTACCAAAAAAACGTCGATATTACCACGTCGCCTCTTGTTGCCCAAATATTGAAATCTCTTTACCATTTTCACCTCCTTCTCAAATCCATTACCATTTCTCCACGCCTGTATGGTCGCGCGTGTCTCAAATAAATTTACAAACATTATATAGGGGCGTGCAGGGGAACACGTTTCCTAGTGCATCATGTAGTGGGTATGCTAATATATCAATGGTTTAATACGTGACATTTATCTTTATATTAAGACAACTCAATTATATTCTCGTATTTACAAGCGTATTCTGCGCGCACAAAGAAATTTCAAAATCCGAACGAATGTTAGGTTCTATTATGGTCTTCAATTTGCATTAGCCGCGAACTCCAAATAGGAAGTTGCCTACTACCAGGAACATGACACTTATGTAAAACTATTTAGTATTTTTTATTCACATGTTTATTTAATTATAGTAATTCCTTTGAGCGCGTCTACATCTTTAGAAATTTTTTAACTTTATTGTGCAGATTACCAGTGTATTTGCGGATATGATACTATTTGTCAAATGTACAGATGAATGTACTTTTCGATATCCTTAGGTTCTCCATGGTGTCTTCAAAGTGCTCCCGTTTCTACATGCGGTTCATTTCCCTCATGAAATACACTTGAATATGAACTTTACTTTATAAGAGATAGCCCAACAGCATTGATGTTAATTAGCCCCGTGAGCAGGGCGCTGCGCTGCTTTGGCGTGGCTACGGAGGCTCGCTGATGTGCGCAAGGATGCGCGGCCGGCGGCAAGCCCCCGCGCGCCGCGGGCCTTGCCGGGCTGAAGGGGCGGCGCGTTCGGCCCTGTGAACATGCTCGCCGGGGGCCCCGCTGGCACGCTGGCGGCGGAGGAGAGGGAGCGGCGGCGGCGCAGGCGGCGCGACCCCCCGCAAGGGGCGCCAGCGCCAGCGCCAGACGCACGTAACACAACCGGCGGCGCGGGGCGTCGGCGGCGGGGCAGGGCGCGGCGGGGCGGGGACGGCGGCGGCGGCGGCGACGGACGCTGTGGCACGCAGACGAGCAGTCGAGCAACCAGCCGGGCGCCAGGTGCCCCAGACGGCTAGCGCGCGCGCGGCATAGGGCCTGTGCGCCGCTGCTGCTTACTGCTGTGGCTGGGGGGAGCGAGCGGGCGCCGGCCCCCCGGGCGTGGTGGCGCGCCCGCCGCGGGGCGCGCCGGGCCGGCGGGGCCGCGGCGACGGCCCGCCCTGGACCGTGTTCCTGGCGCTGGCCTGCAGTGAGTCGCAGGCGCCCGCGCTGTCGCGGGCCTTCAACCGCACCTTGGCCAACGCCACCAAGGCGATGGGGCTGGACGGTGAGTGGCGCACGCGCGTGGGGGCATTTGGACGTAATGTTGCTCTGAAATTATGTACCTTCCCACAAACTACTTTCTTATCACAATCTAGATAACTGCGTAGTACAGTAAAATCTGTTTACGCTGGAACCTGTACAAGCCGGAAACCTGCCTTAACCGACAAAGTACTCCGGTCCGTAAAGTTAAATAGCATTTTACACGCCTTATAACGGAACGTGTTCAATGCAAAAACAGATTGTTTTTTTAGATCTTCCGGGTGAAAATATTTTATAAAATGGAATTCCTGTAAATTTAATGCTATTGGCAAAGAGTTGGGACATATTCTTAATTAAATAAAAGCATCTGCCAGTATGCTATTTTCTATCCCTATGACACGCGATTTAGTCGTGGCATCCGCACATTGAAGGGTAGGGCTTTCAGCTGTAAGTGTAGATTTCCACTTTGGGGTTGCTTGTCTCTCAAGGTCCTCGTTCTCGGCTCTCTGAGCGTGGAAAGGTGTACAGGCATGGCAACTAGAGTATGATTTATTTAGTCTCGCACTTGACGTAAATCAGCTGTTGCGGTTTCATCCAATCGGGAGCTTATTTGTTGCTACAGTGACGTCACTATGGAGACGTTCAAGCTCCCGATTCAATGAAACCGTGTATAGAAGATTTACGTCAAGTGCACGGTTAAATAAATTTTCGTATAATCACGCATCTCCCTGCCCCGCGTTGAAAATCGTAACTACTCGGCCAGAGACACATTGCTCCAAGCCATGCTAGGGTATCAGAAGATCTTAATACTTTGGGCTGAATCACAGTGTGCAGTGAGTGAGGTGGGGTGTATTTTTATGAATTTCACAACCAGTTTAACAAGAGTTGGAAAAAGTCATCAAACTTTAACCTTAGATGCAAAGATCAAACTTATAAAAGTAACAGAAACTTAGAAGCTGCAAATGAAGAATGGTTAGTATTCATTTGAAAAGTGGACAACACCACATAAAACTTTCCTAAACGGGATTTTTTTCGTTCGAACGATTCCGGCTTAGACAAATTTTACTGTTCAAGTATTTACTCACAATTATTTAACGACTAATGAACAATATGATCGTAGTTGACAAAAAAGAAAGATTTTGAGGTATAAAACGCTACCTTCAAATATTGACGCTTGATGTTTCGTTTAACTACTTGTAATGGAAGATGAATGTAAACATAATGGACACAATGACTAATATTTACGCTTCAGTACCGTAAATGAAGCCTCGTTCCTTTCAGAGCTAGTTTTTGCTCGATGTAGTAGAGAACATAGAACACATCCGGTAATCTTATTCCTCTCCTTTCATATTCATTGTATCATTGTAAGAGTATTATACTATTCACTAGAATAATACATTTTATAAACACAATATAGGCCACCACTGATAAGTATCTAGGTACTCGTATTTGAAAATATAACTTTAACTATGTTCTGAGCTGTCCGATGCCGCGTCGATGGCTGATGTGCCGACGTTTCGACCGACATATCGCGGTTCTCTTCAGGGCTGTACTGCTCGGAAGCCTACGACATCATATACCTTAACTAGTATTATATTTTTCATAAAAATAAAAAAAGTCGTGTTCTTTAACCAATTACGTATGTATGCATGCAGGCTATTTTTATTCAAAATTTATTCGTACTTTTCTCACATTGACATACAAATTTTTTCTTGGGGCAAAACATCTTACGAATTTATAGAAGTTCGTATTGTTTCAAGTATATAAACATACTGATGAGCAAATATTTACTAACAGGGCAAAAAATGTTTCAATTTATAACTCTCAAATTCATTTCCATAAACTTTACGGATTATACTGATACACAACTGTCTTGTTATTTCTCGATTTACTCTTTCGGTCATTTTAAAACTAGATGTTCTCGATTACGAACCACAGGTTACAGAAAGAGTCAGTAATCGATGCCTTTTTGATGCTTTCTGGTCGCGTCTGGATCAGAAAGTATTGATAGAACGCGGATCTGTCGAGACAGTTAAAAAAGATTACACACTCATTCAAAATTAAGGTTAGTAATATTCTTAATTCATTTTCCCTAAACTTGTTTCCTACTACAACTATACCGAAACACGTTTTAATTAAAAAGCAAGCGCGAGCATTCGGTGTACCACATACGACTAGAGCATGTCTTCGCAATATTTCGGGCCGTTTGCGAATGCACAGTGTGCAATGTTTGATTAAAAATAAATTTCCGCGGAGCCCACGCCCGCACGGAATCACGTTCGAGAGCACTTAATTACGTTGCGGCGCGCCACCTGTTGCTCACGGGCGGGGGAGGGGGAGGCGAGCGTACGAAGGCGATGCGCGACCGCTGCGGCGGGGCGCGCCTATTGTGTGTGGGGCAATTTCGTGAGGCGGCGCGCGGCACGCGTCGTCCGGGTGAGGCCAAGTGGCCTTCCAGCCCCTCTGCGACTGACGAGAAACAAACTAGAATATACTACTACAAAGAGTGGCTGTCCGTATAGTTTCAGCGCTCTTGGTGGAGACTCACCGAACTACTGTCCGACATAGTTTTGTGAAGTCAAAACACACGAGGAGCGGTTTAACCAGTGTGTAACCGTCCGTAACCACCGCCAAACGTAATGCTAGAATGTTTTGTTTCCTAGAAGGTGCAGCTTTGACGGCAAAAAACATGGTTTCCATTTGCTTTAAAGATGGAGGCGTTTTAGCCACTCTATGTAGTATATTCTAGCTCGTCGCTGCCGAGTGATTGTGCGCCGCTGGGCGGTCTAATGTTTCAGCGAGTAACGTAGGGGAGGGGTGATTTGGTCGACTGCCGTTAGGTTGCGTAGGTGACTGGAGTTGCCTTGAGTGGAGTTCAGAACTTTCACACAGTCGTGGGTGCCTAAAGGGTTTCACAGCAGTCGGGGGCAGCTAAATTGTCATTAACAAAACGACAATTTTTGGATTTCTATGGCATTACAGCTTGTAGGGTTACTGCTATAGTAGGCCTTGTAGGTGACTGAAATTGCGTAGTGGGTGAAGTTGAGAATCAGGGTCTGGGTTGTGAGCGGAGTGTGGGACAGTTTAATTGTCATTATCGAAAGGAAAATTCTTAAAACAAGCTTTTGTGGCATAGCTACTAACAAGATTGCTGCTTCAATAGATCGTGTTGGTATCTGAAATAGCATAGTGTGTGGGGTTGAGAATCAGGGTCTGGGTTGGAGGCGGAGTGTGAGAATAGATGAATTGTCATCACTGAAAGGAAAATCGTGAAAACGGATTCTCCACCTTGCTTTCTTCTGTAACTTCTTACCAACAGGTTTTTAACCTGGTAAAGTGGAGGGTGGTGTATCGCAAAAAACGTTTTGGACCATGCGCGATTTTACTCTGTTCTATCAGTTTCACCTCCATATATATAAAGATTACAGATTTTCATTCTATGAGATTCTTCGCGAAAGTACAAAACGAATAAAATTCTCGGAAAATTTAGAGAACACAATATTGCTGGTGTTTCTCTTATTGTTCTGTCACTACAGAAATAACGTTTTTTTTAAAAAGGATATGTAAAATAAGGAGATGAAAAATCAAAATTCTGCCGTTCATCTCCGGGAAATGTCATTTTTTTACTTAAATAATCCAGGCAAAATGTATAGTCTTGCCGTTTACTATAAAACTAAAATGTTAGTATTTTCACTCAATTTTTCTACATATCGTGCTCTAGCTTTTTTACGTGACTTTAATGATTTCGAGTTTAAACGTGATTACGTTTGCAAACTTCGAAGAAATTATATTTCAAATGGTTACTGAGTTTTAATTGAGACCAATGCTGTTCATGATCACAAAAATATGACTAAATGATTTAAATTGGTATTGATTCGCATATTTAGTACATTGCCAAGCAATTAAGAGTTTTAGTTTAAAGCCTGTAATATTTTAAGATCTGGATAATTTTGTGTGGTTTTGTGATTTAGTATCGTTTGCCGTTTGAATTTCGCAATACGTTAAATGTAGTCATTTTAATTGTTCGAATTCTTTCTTAGTTTACAGAATGTTTGAAAATGTACACATTTTTCTCATAGTGACGATCTTTACGTGGCTACTCGCTGCTGTTTCTCTCCATACAAGAGCTTCTAGTCTCCACAAAACTAAATTAAAACCCTGGTCATGGAGAGATTATGAGATTAACCGCTTAACTAAAGACTCACTCGCGGTGTATCTGTGCGATCAGCAAGCAGTGGAGGGGCGTGACGCTCATAAGAACGAGGAATGGAAATTCCCCGCCAGAGAAGCAGCTTTCTGTCGCAGTTAAACCTCACATTTACTGGTGCGTACTGCGAAGGTTCCGACTGTATAATCGCATCAAAAGAGAGAGAAGCATTCAATGCGAACGACATAGCTTCAACTTTAGAACAGGCGCAAAAAGTACTGAAGAAGCGAGCGTTGTAAAATAATCCTTTTTACCTTCCTACGAGATGTGATGAACGGTAATTTCATGCAATATGCTTCTCTTTCCTAGCAATATCCATCTCTTTCTAAATATTAATTTCGTTCGTACGTTCACTCAGTTATTATATATATCGTGTAATATCTTCTAAAACGCACCAGATACAACTATTGATGCCGTGCAATGAATTTAGTTGATCACACTTTCCACGATTAATGTTTGTTTGATAAAGAAATCTGTGTTAAGTCTTCTACACGCTGCACATACGATGATGATGCATAATCAAGTTTCTGAATATAAATTTAAATTCTCAAATACCAAAACGTCTCTCTATATATTTTATGACTTTCAAATTTCAGAGAAGTAACGCATTCAAGTGTCGCGAACTATGTGAAGTAAATAATTATGTAGAAACCTACGTACGTTTAACCTATTTCCATTTTAATATTTCCACCGTTAAACAAGGAAAATATGGTCAGAATGGTTTTCAGCCTTTACTACTTACATACAACTTTGTCAATCAATACATCCAAAATAATTTGTAGTTTAATACATTCAACTAATGACTAGAAATATGCGTC